GATAACAAGATCCACATTCATTCCTTAAATATACACATGAATGCAGAAATAAATTTCAATGAATAAAGAGTGTACTGACATGGTTGTACCATCTTGATAAATGAAGAACTTTTTCTCTTTCATAAAATGTCATACCACTCTAAAAATAAAAAATATTAAAATATAAACTTAGACTCTTTTCATAGTATGGTTTATTATTGTTGATTTGTCTCATTTCTATAACAGATTGATTTTCAATCACAATATATTTTCTAATATTAGCATGAGAGGTTAATAGTCTATATACTGTAGAATATTCTCATTGTTGACTTCACTCTCCTGTTCAATAAGTTTGCTGACTCTGGTCATTACCTTCAGGAAGAATTATTTGAAAGTCTACACTGATTACCAAACCAACCAGAATATGGAGTATTCCCTGCCACATACAAAATAACCCAGTGTCAGATGTGAAAATAACCCAGTGTCAGATGTGAATATAACCCAGTGTCAGATGTGAATATAACCGAGTGTCAGATGTGAAAATAACCCAGTGTCAGATGTGAAAATAACCCAGTGTCAGATGTTTACTTACTAGAATATTATAAAGAGCTTGAAATATACTAATATCTGCTAGTGATAAATCATTTCCAACAAAATATACTTTATCTTTCAAATAACTATTCAATTCCTGAAAAGTTAATTAATGATAATTTATATCAAACTAACTCCTGTATATTCTGGAATCACGACAAATTTTCAGGTTTTTATGCCCTTTGAGAATATCATTAGTTATGACCCAATAAAACTCTGTAAATTAATGACTATGCTCACTTATATAATGATATCATCAAGAACAAAATAACTGTTAAACATTTCGTATCTCAGACATTACTGGTTAATCTTAACCCTGACAGACCATTTGACTTACCATCTACCCTACCTCCATCCCACCCCTAACCCTGTGACTTACATTGAGTCTATTGTGTACATCCTTCTCTGTAGAACATCTATCAAGGGAGACAACTCTATATTCTAACCATTGATCTATGGCAGCCTGGTCTTCACTGTTTTTACCTGCAGAATTTTATCAATAATACAATGTTTTTAAACTTTTTATTCATATAAAAATTTATTATATTATACAAGGATAGATAGACAAGAAATGTAACAAAAGTCCACAGCAGCTACTAAAAATAACTTTGTTTTTCATAATAATTTTAACCAATTTTTTTTGGAACATATTAGAAATATGTCCATTTATACAAAAATAATTGGTTTTAAAGAAATAGTAAACTTTTCAATTCCACATTTTGTGTGAAGATCACACAGTGTTTAAGACAGACTGAATATTGACTCATTCTGAAAACTTGTATAATGAAATATATCAACCTACCAAATAATGAAGTATTTTTTGATTGTCTCGTCAGATGTTTTAGAATAGTTGTATAACCTTTAGCTTTACCTTTTAATACAGGAACCTAGAAAATAACAAATATTATCATTTACAAAGATTCAAGATAATATCTGAGTCAGAGCTGAATTGACATTGTACTAAGATTTTGAGCATCGAAAATGGAGTCATGTTTAGACTACCGTTCATCTTAGAAACTCTGGCTGTGACAAATGATTTAGCTGGATATTCGCCTCATGGAGACTGACTTGCTGGAGACTGACTTGCTGGAAACTGACTTGCTGGAGACTGACTTGCTGGAGACTGACTTGCTGGAGACTTGCTTGACTGACTTGCTGGAGCCATTTCTACGTTTGGTAGCCATCGTATTTTGGAATGGGATAGAAGATATACAATAACAACGGCTGTCACACTTCCTGTTGTTCCTATGTGGTAAATTAAAGACATTTGACAAAATACACAGCCCTAAATATGCATTTACATTACTTAGAATACTAAATGTAGTAGAATTCTAAATTACCGAACCATCTTGAGTTATTTTACCACAAGAAACGCCTAAAAATGAAGAAATATTGTGAAATTCTTTCTGAACAGCTGCCATCTTGGAAGGGAGTGGTCACTATTTCTGTCTAAAAAGGGAGATTTTTAATATTGCTGGATTAATTGTTCTTCATTTTACAAATATTCAATTTTAAAACATTTCAAAATTATTTTCTTCAAAATCATTTTTTTTAGTTTTCTAAAAATTACTATTATTAAAACTTAAAATAAAGGATTCTCCCTACATGGCATCGTACAAAATAATTTTTACAGACATTAAAAAACGATGAATTGATAAAAACGATTTATGTTGTAGACCTTTATTTCTTGTTTATTTCCTTCATGACAAATTTTAGAATTATATTCCGAACTTATTTGAATCATAAAAGATTTTTCTTAGAAATTTCTCGATAAATCGATTTATGTGTCTTGTCGGGATTTTATTTAAAGCTGAAAATTGAAAGGTCAAAGTTCAAATCGAAAACGAAAGCAAAGACTTAAATAGGAAAGATTCAAGAATGACGTTCTTTCAAAAGCTGATATTGTTATTCCACTTTGTCATTTGTATTCATGGGTTTAAACTCATATTTGAGAAACAGGAGCAGCCAAATGTTGTTGGTAAGTCCATGTCCATTTATTTTTTAGATGTTTATATCATGATCATACGATAATCGTCCATTCATTTATTAATAATCCTTCCTCGTTTATTCACTCACCCCCACCCAATCATTCTTTCATCTAGTCACTCACTCACCACTCACTCACCTACTCACTCACTCACCTACTCACTCACCTACTCATTCACTCACTCACTCACTCTGATGTTCTGATATTCTCAGAGATTCATAATTGAGTTTTATGTTAATTAATAGTAGGGCTATGTCCTGTAATGACTAAACTACCGGTACTAAAGTTTCCCTTCCTTATGGTAGTTTGTCAGGAAGATTTTAAGCCTCAAGATTGTTACCAAAGGGTATGAGTACCGTAGCTAGGGATATCTTGTGTGCCCCAAGACCAGAACTGTCTACCAGGAACATTTTCAGAACATTCACAGAACCAGACAAGGGGTAGCACTTCAGAATCTATCTCAATGCTATGGTATTGAAAGCTGAAAACCAGGCCTAATAAATTCAAAACAAACATTTTTCTCTATTTCCAGGGTATTTTTGGCAGGTAACTGATTTCCACTATGACAGTAGATACAGTGTTAATGGAGTCCCTAGTCAGATGTGTCACCAGGGGCAAGTTGACAAGGGTGCGGATAAACTTGGTCAATTTGGTAATTATTTATGTGATGCTCCGTGGAAGTTGATCACCTCGGCTATTGAAGGCATGAAATCTATCCATGATTCTCCTGATTTTATTCTTTGGACTGGGTAAGTTGACTGACAGAAATAAAATAACGCAATGTTTTATATCTTTCTTTTCTCTTTAGTTTACGTGTTCTCTTAAGCATAAAATATTTTACGATTAAAACTAATTCTGATTGTAAAATATTTAGATAAGCAGGGACAGGTTTCTAGTTTAATAATCTTATAGTCGTCTTCTTGATAATGTTGAAAAATTTATGATGAGGAATTCTGGTTTAATTTCAGTCGACGAGCTCAACTTATCATCATTCTACACAGCCCATACTCGGCTGTAAATGATAAAAACCAACTTGTAAGTTGTACACGATCCTCAAGAGCCTGTATTGAGACGAGACTCAATGAAAGCACTGGCCTAGGTTACAGAACAATCTTGTGTTATGTTTGTTTCTTTAGTTCTTTTCATTCAGCAGAGATTCTGTAGATCATATTATTTGATTCTAACCTGATTTTTTTGAATTTTTTTTATTTTCAGTGATTCCATCCCCCATGTAAACAATTCAGATTTAAATTTACCTGAAGTTTATACGATTATTGGAAACGTAACAGATAAACTGATAGAGGTATTCCCCAATACCACTATATTCCCTGTACTGGGGAACCATGACGCCTACCCCTCTAATCAGATGGTCCCTGGGGCTACTACAGGCTACTATACCGGTATCTTACAGAACTCACGCTGGACCAAATTATTAGGATCAAATCAACAGACACAGTTTGAAAATGGTGAGTGACTGAGCGAAAGTTTTAGATACACTACCTTCATCAGGACAACAAGTTTTAGAAATGCGAGTTAACTTTCCATTATAGGACTTCATGTAAGCTAAATGATGAGAACACATGTTTTAGATACACTATCTTCATCAGGACAGCTAGTTTTGGAAATGGAGGTCAACTTTCCAATATGTTAGTTAATTGACTAGAGATTATCTCATACTGCCAACACATCCTTCAGATACACAATCCTCTTCAGGACAGCTAGTTTTAGATATAGAGGTTAACCCTCGAAGGAGTCATGGATTTCTTCTATGTTATTTTGTGTGATAGAAAGAAATTGGGAATGGTGCAGGTAGAAGCTGTAGGTGTCTAGGTGTTTAGGTGTCTAGGCGTCTAGGTGTCTCCAACACACATATACAAAAAGACCAGAAAATATATTTGTATTTGATGTGTTATAGGTGGTTACTACAGTGTTCTGATTCAATCAGGATTAAAATTACTTGGTTTAAACACCAACCTGTATTATGATCAAAATAAACTGGTAGCAGACATCCAGGATCCGGCTGGTCAGTTAGAATGGATGGAACAACAACTTGAAGATTCTAGAACCAACAAACAGAAGGTAGTAGACTATTTTTAAATACCACTGTTAATTTTTATTAATATTATACAATTAAACACAGGTATCTTCATTTAACAATACTACAGACCACAAATAATTCTTTCTATTTAATTCTAGGTTTATATTATCTCCCATGTACCACCAGGAGCTTTTGAAAGAGTGAAAAATATCGCTTGGTTTTATCCCCAGTTTAATCAACAATATATAAAACTATTATTAAAATATACAGATCTTATAGTTGGTCAGTTTTATGGTCATGAACATACTGATAGTTTTAGAATATTACTCAATGAGAAAAGTAAGTAACTTTATATTTTAAAATGATTCTAAGATAGACTGTTTCTATGGTAGCAAGCTTGAGAAGGTCAACATAGCAGAAGATGAGGTTTATGCTGCTGTTCTGAAAAACACTGCATGGCATTAACTGTGTTCATTTTCCTGTAACAGATATTTAAAAAAGCCGACAAATTTAAAAGTAGCTATCAGGGGCTGGAATAGAGGCAGATGTTTCAGACTAGTAAAAAGTCATGGTTATGTTTTATAATTGACCAAAAGTTAAATATAATTTCATTCATCACAGGTGATTGTCAGATCATTGATTCTGATTTTAAATTAATTTTAGACCAAGCTGTATCATCATTGTTTTTGGCACCAGCCGTGACTCCCTGGAAGAGTACTCTACCTGGCGTTGGTGCCAATAATCCTGGAATTAGACTCTACATGTACCGGAAAGATACAGGAGCTGTTTTAGACTTTCAGCAATACTTCCTCAATTTGACCAAAGCTAATAGCGAGAATCAGGGTAACTGGGAACTGGAATATCAGGCTACGTCGGAATTCACGCTGTCAGACACATCTGTTTCCGAACTTGACAGATTGGTACAATCATTCCATAATGACGAGTTTTTATTCAACAAATATCTTCTTATTAACTCAGTTTCACAAGATACAAATCCAAACTGTACTGGTGATTGTAAACATCAACAAATCTGCGCCATACGTTACATAGATTTTGACATGTTCTCTCAGTGTATTACTGGAAACCGTATAACTACACAACAACCTTATCACACCACTCGTAAACATCATCATAGAAAAGAAGTTCCTGAGTATATGTTATATGTTATTGGTACGATGGGCGGAGTGATACTTATTATGACAATTGTTTTCGCGTGTTTTTGTGTTTCAAATAGAAAAAAGAGAATTCCGTATAAATATGCTCCTATAAATCCTCGAATAAATTAAATTTTTGGAGTTTTACTTCAATTAAAGCACTATGTTATACACAATAAATCAAAAGCAAAGATATTTTTGAGACATGGTCTGGTTAAAAACATAAACAGTCTGGAGTAAAAATAATAGAAATTGAATTAATACTTATACATGTTGATAACTACTCTACCAACAGATCTAGTAGACTATCTCATGTTAATGTTTTGATTCAGATCTAGTCGACTGGTCATGTTAATGTTTTGATTCAGATCTAGTCGACTATCTCATGTTAATATTTTGATTCAGATCTAGTCGACTATCTCATGTTAATGTTTTGATTCAGATCTGTGCTAAAATATCTTTAGTGGGCTATAAAAATGCTTTGTTTTCAATACTCAATCAATTTATATTTTTGTAATTTGTAATTTGTATATTTGTATATTTGTAATTTGTAATTGATGTGGGGTGGGGCTGATAATATCAGTTCTGTTAATTTTGTTTATTTTAAGCATTCCTTATCCTGTAAATTGTGATAAATTGTAAATATGTTGAAATGTGCCTTGTTTTTATTCAATCATGTTGGCTGTAATTGTTTTTTGCACTTGTTTCGTTTGTTATAAACAGTTTTTGTATAATCTTTAGTCTCAGCGTTCTATGTTTATTTACTGGTGTTATAACAGAGTAGAGATAGAACAATCAATCTCCTCTGTAGGTGATGCAGGTCAGAGGGGGTTGACATGGAAATTTATTCTAGTTCTTTAAATGGGAGAATACCAAATAGATAAAGAGTAGGCTGATGTTTCCTTGACGATAGATTTTCCTCGTTGCCTACTACAAAGCGTTACAAATTAACTTCATTAGCCAAATGAATTTCAGATCTAAAAGTCCATTTAATTAACCTCTTTATATGAAGACAAGGCTCAGTAAAAGACTTGTCTTGATAATAAAGACAATCTTTTCCTTGTTCCCAAAATAACACTTTAATTTATACTAAGATATAAATCTCCTCGTGTTGAAACTCTCCATTCACTTGCAAATAATGAAATAAACACAAGACAATATAGTGAAATAAACACATTTCTTTAAAAATATTAGACACACAGAAGTATGTTTATTATATAATATTGTCTTGTGTTTATTATATAATATTGTCTTGTGTTTATTATATAATATTGTCTAGTGTTTATTATATAATATTGTCTTGTGTTTATTATATAATATTGTCTTGTGTTTATTATATAATATTGTCTTGTGTTTATTATATAATATTGTCTTGTGTTTATTATATAATATTGTCTTGTGTTTATGATTTGTACTCCTCACTTCTAAATATCGTTCAAGTTTTATAATCCACGATGACATTGCCATGATCAGCTGATTAACGACGACTTATTTTAAGAAAAATCCCCAAGTTGCGATAGCCAGACATTCAAACCATTTCATGTAAGAAAAAGTCCAGGGTTTTGTGATGATTTTTAATAAAATTAGCCAACAACTAAAATGATTCTGAGTTTATATGTTTAAAGCTGATCACTGTTTTTATAAAGCCAACAGTGAGACACAAATACATACATAGTTTCCTACATATTATTATTATTATTTACAAACAAACAAACAAACAAACAAACAAAATACCAACAACTTATTATGTCCCTTTGATGGCTGCTTCAAGGCTGACAGAAGTTTTCTAACCTAATGTTTATCAGGGACACTTCTAGCTTCTATTTACACTATTCAGATTATTGCCTGATATTTTGTGGTCTGTCTAATTCCAGAAAAGCGTGACTAAATTATTGCGAACAAAAAAATGATAGTTTTTCAGGAATAACTGGAACCACAGATATCTGACAAGAAATTAGAATGGTGTAAACAGAAGTTACACCTGATACACAAATACAGGATAGAAAACTTTATAAATCCTTTTTAAAGAAAAACAAAATATAAATATACACTCAATGTACAGTTTAAAGCATCTTTATCAACTACGCTTATTTCATCATTGCACACTGCAGGGCATTGCCTATCTTCATTAGCTTAATCAGATGCAGAAAAGTAGGTTGTAAAACTTAATTTATTTCATTTCAATCAGACTTATTCAAACATCACTTTCATGTTCTTCGATTTGAAGCAATAAAACCAACTTGTATCACTTTATACAACAATGTTTACCTACAACAGTTGTATCAAATTTTCTGTTATTGTACAACAAATTCATTGGTCATGCCAGCAGCTTGTATAAATCAAATTTTCCATATATTGTGTTGTACAACAAATAAAAAAGTATAATAATATGTAATCAACTGTAGCGTGTTGTACAACACAACAAAGCAGTCCAAAAATAATCGTATTGCTACAAAAGTTAGCTTATAGCTTATATATATATCAACTTGTCCATATATTGAGATGTAAATCAAATCAAATCAAAAATATATCAATCAAATCCTATTCATGTAAAAAAAACAATATTATAGAATATAACACACTTCTTTAACCTTTCAAAACAATATATACTGTCATCATCAGATGTGTTGAAACATTATGTGCCTAACCTTATTAAAGAAGTGTGTTATATTCTATAATATTATCTTGTGTTTTGTTATATGTGCTCTGTATACACATACCATATCAATAATAACAAGACAGTTATAATAACAGTAGGTTAACTGTCCAATATAACACCTGATGATGGTTAAAACCTTAAACCCTATCGTGTAATCTGCTCCTTCAAACTAATTCTTCAACTAACTAGAGTCCTCGTATTCAGTTATAAACCTTGTGATTTCATGTAAAATATTTGTAAACAATTCTAAGTGTGTAAGTTATCAACTACAGACAGATATATTATATATAAATGGGAGACCAAAGTTTGTAATCTTACATTTTAAAATTGTATGTAATCAAACATGTTGATTTTAGACAATTTAGAAAGATAACATTTAGAAAATTCAACCAAACATGAAATACTCTGTTTAATCCTCAATAGAATAAGAATGGTAAATCAATACCACATCAAACACAACATGGAATTCCCTGTTTAAACACCAGTAAAATATAACTGAATGGGAATCTTGAAAGTTGTAGATGAGTTTTTATTAAGTTTTTATCTTCTACTCAACCAATTCGATCAACTGATGTAATTCTGATGTCTAAAAGCGAAACAAAAGGACCAGGCTACTAAGGGACATGGACGTGCTACGAATATAATAATAGCACATGTGGTAATATTTTAATAAAATTTTGCATTAAGTTTCATAAATTCCAGGCAAGGCGAGATATAATTTGACAAGCAACAAAAAACACCCCCGATATTACAAATGGGCTCTTCCAATCATGTTATACAGTTTCAAAATGATAGAAAGAATGCATGTGTGAAAGAATTCAATAAAAAATGAGGGATGACAAATAGTTGAATGGCATATCATATTCAGCCTTCAGGAAACAATTCAGGTAGGATTGAAAGTCATACAATGTATTAATAAGCGTATGCTGAATGGAAATGGTATAGATGGTTTTTTTTTGCCGTACATTTTTTCTTTTAATAAAAATTAAAACATGCAGCCTTTGAATAGATAAACCCTGTCAAATTGTTCATTAAAAATTTCTCTTCAGAAAGCCAAGGTTTATAAATAGATGTAAATAAATTTTTCTATAGACAAGATGAAGGATTTTTCACATAAAAATATTTCAAGCTTCAAGCTAGACTCGGTAGGAAATATTCACAACAGGGTTAAAATTAGGGGAAATATTACAAATTTCACTGCCACCCCTACCCCTGTAGTTGTATTTCCATCACCCCTGACAGTCTTAAAAAACAATTTAACCGATAATAATGTCAGATGATCACACATAAAAATAAAATGATAAAACAGATTGCACTAAAATTTCGTATCTACAGTCTTAATCACTGGTAAAATCCTTGGAGTTCAGGCGAAATTAATCCACTTAAGATATTATAGAATCCCTTCACATAGTAATCTATTCTCACTTGATCCTCATGCATAGTCTCTCAGATAAAACACTGCCTCGTTACGGAGTCACAGGCATAGAAAATAACATCAATCATGTCTCACTCAAAGGAAAGAAAACACAAAGTAACTAACTGCATTTTTGGAGTTAGCTCCCTTTAATTACAGTGCTAAAAGATTTGATGCTGTTCACTTTCTTACAAAACAATGGCATCAAAACTGTTAATCTGATGTTGGTAACCTCCATCCATGATTAACAATCCATTTACCAGCAACAAAGATAGTATCACAATATGTTTTATTACCTACTATCATGATGAAAAATTCCAAGGCATTGCAATTTTTATGATATTATCCGTTAGCAACAATAACGATGTTATTCACTGTGTTCTTAATATATAAAATGGACCACATAGTATCATCCAAATACAAACGGTCACGATGGCAGCATTTGACAATCACCATGACAACATCCATTTATAACCATGGCAACTTCCAATAATCACCATGGCATCATCTGAAAATCACCATGACAATATCATATAATCACCATGGCAACATCTGAAAATCACCATGACAATATCAAATAATCACCATGGCAACATCTGAAAATCACCATGACAATATCCAATAATCACCATGGCAACATCTGAAAATCACCATGACAATATCCAATAATCACCATGGCAAAATCAGATTGTCACAATGACAATATCTGATTATCACCATGACAATATCCAATAATCACCATGGCAACATCCAATAATCACCATGGCAACAGCCGATAAACACCATGGCAGCATTTGATAATAATCACCAGAGCAGCATTTGATAATCACTATGGCAACATCCAATAATCACCATAGCAACATTCAATAATCACCACGGCAACATCCAATAATCACCATGGCAACATATGATTTGTACATTACAAAGCATTTTAATGAGATGGTGAAACAAAACCCATGCTAACATCATCAACTCTAGACAGCTGGAGTTAAAACACTGGTCCAGCGAGTGGGAGAAAGCACAATTAGAACGTAACGTTTCAGATCTAGACAGATGGCAGGATCGTGAAAATGCTTCCCAAGATAAAAGTACAGATATACATATATATATATATAATTTAATTATGAATTAGGCAACGTATCACTACTGTATCGAACAGCATTTCTTTTTCTCCTTTTTTTTATTTTTCGGGGAAGTTGGTTTGTCCGTGTGGTTGCCCCCAGCAGGTGCTTGTTGGTCCTTATCATTTATTTCTACTTTCACAGATTCGGGTGTAACTAGATCATTGACTTTTCCGTTCTCTTTTGAAGGACTGTTAGGAGAAGGGGAGGCGGCTTGCACCTCTTGTTGTACTGAAGACACAACATCTTCAACTACAACTTTGGCATTGTCTGCTATATCTCCTTTTCCTTTTATTCCATTTGGACTAGTTGGTGTTTCCACGCGATTTCCGTCTTTATCCAAATAGAATTTGTCCCGGATTATTGTGGCTCGCTTCAGCAAGTCTTCTGTTTCCTTAGCTAAAGGTGATCCAGGTAAAAATGGGTTATCTCGGCTCTCTAAACTGAAAAGATAAAAGAGAAATGATATAAAAAGTTAATAACTGTGATGTTTACATGTTGTAATAATGTATAGTTTAAGTTGTATATTATTTCTATTTCTATATGACATCAAATAACTTGATATAGTATAGCATCTCAATATATTATCTTAGTTGGTATTTTATCAATAGGAAAGCCCAATTTTTGAAAAATGTGACCTTGTTTTTTTAAGTTGTTGTGTTGATCGTATGTTAATCAGTTAAACCAAAATAATCATGTACAACAAAGTATGACAAAGTAACCAAACATCAGTTAATGTCATAAAATTAGATTTAGATATTTGGTGCGAGACTAGACTACAACCTGACAGAGCGAGAGAACAGAACGAGACTAACAAGTTAAACTAGGGATTAGACATGATCAAGATGTTTAAAGACAGTTAGTTAAATTCTACATTATGTTACAAAACTTTTAACATGAACAGACGACAGATTTACTGGTGATTAGAATAAGATAGTCACTAGAAATTATCAAAAAACCACAAACAGTCTAGTTAACAAATCAACCATTATAAATTTTATTTTTATTTCAGTTATTTTATTTTGTCACAAAATAAATTCAGAAATTATTTTGTACATTAGTGAGTTGGTGTTACCATATCATTCTCAATATACCTCAATATACCCTGATAAACCTCAATATACCCTGATATACCTATATATACCCTGATATACCTATATATACCCTGATATACCTCAATATACCCTGATATACCTCAATATACCCTGATATACCTCAATATACCCTGATATACCTCAATATACCCTGATAAACCTATATATACATGACTAACCTGGGAGTTATGTCTGGAATGTGTTCAATAAGCATTTACATAAAAATAATCAATAACTACTTATATTCTAGTGTTTTTATCAATCAGTTTTTACTTTGAACTACAAATACCAATCTATTCAATAATATAAAAAATGATATTTGTGCACAATTGATCAAGTCCAAAAACATGATATTGAATATTGGTAGAATTGATAGTTATAGAAACTAACAAGACAGATTGTGTTAAACATCTTGTAAAAATAGAGTCAATATCATCATTTAGTTCCATGTTATACAGACAAACAACTTTCTCTCAATCATGAAAATGTGTAATTAAAGGAATTGTAAAGAGGTTTTTAAACATTTTTATGTATTTGATACTGATAGCATCGATTTACATAATTCCAATTTTACAGTCAGAATAGTATTTAATAAAGTTACAGAATCCTTTTAATTCTCAACTTAATTACTTTATAAAGTCAGGACAAATTCAAACACATGGTGCATTGCTTATTTTACTAAGAAATATCAATAGAACTGATTTCCTTGGTTTGAGTAGTGAGTTATTTTAGTTCTGATTCTATTTTAGTATCAATAAGACGTAGAATTGTGCAATAGATACTAGTTCAGTATAGAAATACAGCTATTCGCAATGGGTGAAATTATAACTTTCATAGAAAACCTCCTGGACCATCTCTCAGAATTTCTTTTTAGTATCACACCAGGTGTTAACAGAGAAATGAGCTAGTCTTCAACAGGTCTTCATTTGAATATTGGGAGTCTCAACACAGACATTTTTCAAACCAAGTATGAAATCAAAACAACATATTGGTGAAACATTGATAGCATTTAATGAACTTATCACATGAGGAAGAATTATAAGTGAGTACGTCTAGTCCCGATTTGTACCTCCAGTTTCAAGAGTTTCACAGAAACCACTACACATTCAAACTCTCAAACTATCTACAAGGTTAAGAAAACCATCAAGTCGGTAAAAATTTGGTGTAAAAGAATTTTGTATAAAACATACCACTAGATATCACAGAAGTTAT